AATCTGTGTGCTCATTAGGAATATTCGTCATGTCATCAATCCATTAGGAATGGATTGGTAGTGAAAATGAAATGTTTTTTACTTGTTGGAAAAACTATATAAGGGAAAGTAAAACCATTGTTGGTATCTATCATCTTCAAAGTTTATGTTTCATATTTGAATGAAATTCTCTCTAATCACAAAAATGAAATATGTTATGTTCAAATTAATTTTTAATCATAAAAATTTAAATGAAAACATTAGTTTTAAACCTTAAAAAAATGAAACTTCAAAATTTATTTTATTTTTATTTTTCAATACTTTGAAATTGAATTTCTATTTTTTATGTTTCAAAATAAACATAAAATTTAAAAAGTTGAACATTACAATTAATAAATATTTTTTAAAATCATAAATTATTGATCTTGAATTATTGAAAATATTTTTTTGATAAATGATTGCATTTGATTAACAATTTTTTTTACTTATTTTCAATTATTTTGAACCCAAAAATTATTATTATTTTCATTTGATAATTTAATGATTGTTATATTTATTGCATAATTTTAATTGTCAAAAAATAATTTTAAAAAAATAAAATTAAAACATTAAAAATTTCAAATAAAATCTTCAAAATTTTTGTGTTTTGATAATTTTTGATATTTTTTTCAAAATATAATTATTTCAAACATGTGGGTATTAAATCAAAGAATATCGATTTAAAAATAAAAATATCAATAAAAATTTCTAATCATCATAAATATTTATAATCAATAATTAAAAAAATTTCAATTTTTCTCAATTTTGAATTTTAAATAATTTTTATTAAAATGATATTCATACTTTTCAATTTTTGTAATTATACAAAGATAGCATTCTTTTATTTTGTTTTGATAGACAAATATTTATTGTATACATTTGATCATGCATGCTTATTAACAATGAGTTTTTTTTAATTATATGTGTTTTTTAGAACATTTACATTTTTTTCTCTGATATTGTGAAAAACAAACTTATGAGCATTCATTATTTTGTCTTGTTGCATGAAAATTCCGATTGATAAGGTTTTAATTGTTACAAAACCTAAAGTTGATATTTCAACACTTTTTTCATGTAGAGTGTAGAGAGATGATCAAAATATGTAAGTGATATTATCGTCGTGTGTAAATAGATTTGTGTAGTTTATGTTTTAGAGTAAAATCAAGAATTGACACATCAAAGAGCAAGAAAATTGATGACAAGATTATAAATAATAGATGCTTCTTGTATTAAGTACACAAGAACATCAAAGATTTAACTTAAAACAAAGTTATTATTGTTATTTTTCAAGTTTTTATTTGTGTACAGAGCTCTACACTTCTGCAAAATACACTTCAAACTAATGCATACATCATCAAGTGTACACACATAATTTGTTCTAGATTTTTTTGGTTTAGATCTTGTCAAAGGTCACCATCAACGTAGTCTGACAAGGATTTGACACAAACGCATATACTAGTATATATACTTGTATGCACATCTATCGTGATTTTGGCGATTTGGCTTCTACAGGTTTCGATCAAGTGATCGCAAGTGGGGATTGAAATCTAACCCATCAGATACACTAGCAGGCTCTCACAACGTGGCAAGCCTCGCAAATTTCGCGATCGTACCATCTCCTAGTATATGTTCGGGCAATCGGTACGTTGTTCACCTTTGCTATGTGAGTGAGTATGTTCTATTAACAGATGAAAATTTCTGCTCAAGAGAAATTCTTATGTTTTGGTGGTTTTTTTTGTGTGAAAGAAAATTATAAATGTTTTAAGTGTTAAATTTTATTTTGGTTGTTTTATCTTCTATTTGCACGCAATTAAATATAAAATTCATAATCATTGTTTTTGTTAGAATCAAATTTGATGTTATCAATTTTAAGAAATAAAATTTTTTATTTTTAGAATAGAGTAGTTCAAGATACAATGCCCCATCAAACGTTATAAATTGAGTGTCAAAAACATTATCTTCTCAAGGAGAGTGTCTCATTGGACTACGAGAATTGTTTGGAGCCACGTTTTTAGGGAGAAATGGCAAGCTGAAAAAAGTTAAACTAATTCTTCAATTTTGTCAAATTTTGATATTTTTCATATTTCAATTAACATGTCTGAATTTTTGGAAAATTTAATATAAAATAATAAAAATTGAATCTAAGAAATACTTTGAAAATTTGAATGGAGAGTGTTTCATATTAGTGTTTCATAGAGTGCTTGCAAAGAAATAATATATGAGTAAAAGTTGCAGTTTTTAATCAATTAAACCTGAAGTTTTTTAAAATTTTAATTAATTGCTCAAAATAATTGAATTTTAAAATTTATTACTAGCTAGTTTAATTGAATCTAAAATTGCTAATCTGAACAATTTAACAAAGAATTTGAGTTCATTATTTTAATTGCACAAATTTCCAAAATTTCTTCTCATTTGTTCAAATACAATATATTCATTAGCCAAACTTTGATGGGAGCTGCCGAGGGATACAATGAGATCCCCATGAGAAACCTGAGGGTGACAGAACTAGTGAACGTAGTACTGGTGACAGCAGTACTACTGCTGAATCCGGAGGCAACGATAAAAAAAGGATGCCTCGCTCATCTTCTGGCCTTCCTCTCCACAGATGTTTTTTTCATTCTTTTGCATTTTTTATTTAATTAAATAAATTATGTCTACACTTTTTTTTGCAACTTAATTTGGTGTTTTGTGACTTAAACAAATTGCTATGCATTTATATGTAAATGTCTGATGTCTAGACTCTTTGATGTTTAAGGTTCTACCTAATTGATTGCTTATTATTGTTGATCTTGTAAAATCTAATACTAGACTCGTGAGAATGAATATTGAGTATTGACAAATTCTGTATTTTGTACTAGGTAATGATATATTGAAGGCATAAATTTCATACACATCCATGAAAATTAGTTATAAAGGTAATGCATTTTATACTTTTGTTTGTAAGTTAAAAAATTATTTTATAATATTTCAATATTTTTGAACATACTTTTTGACTTACATTTTGAAAAGAAAAGAACTACGGTATATTTTGGAACATACTTTGCATATCGAGAAATGATATGTATACAAACGGAATTTATCAGTAGATATTTAAGTTACTAAAGTTTAATAATCACTAGCAAATATTTTTGTAATTTAACCGTGATGTAAATAATTTTAAAATAGAGTATACAAGTTTCAAATCTTAGATATTACTCATATTTGAATTGTAGAAGTTACCCATGAAAAAATTTGGTTTAGTTTGTATTTGCCGAATTTAAACAATTTAGCAAAGCATCGTTCGTTTCTTTCACTTTTCTTATTGTAAATCTTAAACATTTCTTTTGAATTTTTCGAGTACATCATTATGTCATTTCAGTGTCCTTTAACACAAAAGTTAACACAAAGTTTTATTACATCCATTTTACTACTAAACCCCGGGGACCAGCCAATGCTGCTGCATTGAGAATAGTCAGAAGATGGCCGGCCGCGACTGCCAAGAGATTGGTTTATGAAAATTTGATGCAATTGGGAAAAAACCAGCACTCTCACCAACGTGACAACCTGCGATGGCAGGACTTTGGCGCCATCCACAATATCTACCTTCATTTCCGCCATGCTCGCTTCTTGCAAAGCCTCACAGCACCGACCAGCCAGTTTGCCAGCAGCTCACAGACATACCATGTCGCTCACAGAATGCGTCTCGAATTGTCCATTGACCTCCGCATGTCCTTTCGTTCTATTACCCTCAGTCTTTGAGTCTGCCTGATATGAATAACAACTTCATTTGCTACTGGAATATCTTTCTGGTCATCATGCGATCTGCCACTGAGAATCAATTGTGCTTCAAACCACGCTTGAGCGAAGACAACATACGCGTGTCATCATTAACAGACTTCTCATCAGAACGATTGCCGGCTGCAGCGAGTAAATTCGATGCCCCTGCCACCTGTTAGGATTCCCTTGTTAAATATACGCATAAATTTTGTTTTCTTTTTCCTCATAAGATCGAACATTGGCGCATGTTTCCAGACCATCACCTCTACCATCGGCTGAGTGTTCCTCAGCTTCAATCACATGAAAATAACAAGTGACTTCAAGGAAAAACTAGCCGAAGTAAATTCTTATGAGGTACAGCTTGCAATTGAACAGCAAAGCATGTCCAACTGCAACGCCTTCCCTAGTTGCAACGCGCAAGACAGCTTGTCTAGGGAGACAAAACTCGACGCTAAAGCTAAAGCCATGCGATCTTCTCTCGACTCTTGTGAGAGCTCAAAGCTCAGTCCGATGTAAGCTCTCACTCTTTAATTCTCCCCGATACAATTTGGCTATCATATTCTTCCAAGCTTCTTCCACGAATTCTGTCACGAAAAGAATTCACAAAACGAATTCAGTCATCAGTCACTCGCTTCAGTCATCAGTCACTTCTTGAGATTTTAAATTTTGAATTGAAGTCAATTCAGTCATCAATCACGAAAACAATTCAGTCACGAAAAGAATTCACGAAACGAATTCTGTCATCAGTCATCAGTCACCCACTGTAGTCATCAGTTACTTCTCCAGATTTTAAATTTTGGATTGAAGTCACTTTTTAACAGCAATACCTGCTGATGCTGCAATTTCCACCGTCACGGTCGCTTCGTCTTCGACAAGCAGGCGTACTGTGTCCAAGTTTCCTAATCCGAGGCTGTCGTAGTAGCCCATGGCAGGCATGTAGTGGACATAAGCGAAAAGCTCAAAACTCCAATGAGGAATAGTGGACCAATCGAGAAATAAATGATTGCTCCAATTCTCAATCCAGACGGGGAAGAATTCAGCGCCGCCTTGGTAATCACTCGCACGATGAACATGAAGATAACTGTCCAGACATTTTCCAACTCGAATTTAGTCACCAAAGCTGATTTGAACATTAAAAAGATTTCAGACTCGCGAGCTGTTCGCAATTGAAGTTAGTGCAAAGTCCAAATTGTCTTCTCATTATTCCTGAAGACGTATCACACGGTGCCACGACAAATTTTCGCGTTCACATTACTGAATAATCAATTATACTCCCGAGCTGTTCTTCAAAATGTCGCACGAAGTCTACAATTACGGCGAAGGGTAGGCTCGAGCACACACCCAGCACACTGCTCTCTATTGGATTGTCCCCCGAGGCTGGCTACGTAATGCGTGTCTTGCGCTAGGGCCGCTTGAGATCTGCAAGCGGTGTATCTTTGGCTTGCTGAGAGCCCTGGACTGCCAATGTCGAAGGGAATTGTCATTTTAGTAGCAATTTCCCACAACGATCGTCGTCTGTTGTCAATCTCAGGTTGATGGGGAAGGTGGCTGCGGACAACAGTCACAAGTGGGTGTATCGAGAGCCTTTGGAGCACGAGATCAGCTTTTTGTCTCCATGGCACGGCTCTCTCGATCCGGTAAGCGGGCTGCAGACGGGAACGGCGTGCAATTGAACGTGGCGAGTGCTGCTTTGAGATCTGATTCTGGCGTCTTGAGGTGTATGCCGTCTGATTGTGGGCCTTGTGCTGTTGTCTTGCAGCATCCACGCACTTGGGAAGCTCAATTCAAAGCGGGCATCCAGGTACGTGGAGCTCTGACCAAATTCAAGCGCTGCCCTCGGCTGCACATCCCTTGACATTGCTTTGCGGTCTCTAATAATTGCTGCTGTGCGACCGAAGCTCCAAACTCGAAAAATTACGCAGACTGCGGGCTCAGTCCCAATTGCGTTGGTTGCCTTTAGATCTGTCCATGACTCTGCCTTCATTCTCCCACCTGTACACGACACCAATCTCACAATCAGAGACCTTCAGCGGACACAGTCAGAGCGAGCACGGCCTGTCAGCGACCCGGCACATTCTCTCGGACAAATAAGCCCCACGTCCCCACAGAGCTTCACGTGTCCGAAATAGAGGTCGGCTCGAGAGCAGAAATTGGGACAAGCCTGGCATCGTGAAAGATCTAGAAGCGGAGTGTGCAGCTACGGGGCCTAAAAATGGAAACGAGATTCGGGAGGAGCAGGAGGCGCACTTGGGAGGGGGATAGTTGCGCGGAAGAATGCGCCAGAAGACAGCGTACACCCACTGCGTGTCGCAGCACAGCCCGCGGAGGGTGTGCTGCAATAAGTGATTGAGCATTGGCAAGCCTTGCCTCTCCATCATGCACCTGTGATCAATTCTGCCCCGAAGCACGACTAAAACTACCTACGTTGAAATCCGCGGCTTGCTCCAGGCTTCCAGAATTCCAAGCATGCGAGCATCACACACGCTACACGCTCGAACATACGAGGTCCGCGCACCCGAGAGGAGGCAAAACTACTACTTACTAAAGACGAGGTTTTACCAAAACTACTAACTACTATCACCTCCTGAGAGCATTCGTCTGGAATCATAAGCATCCATCTCGAACAAGCAGAGCAGCCTTTTGTGCGCAGCAGTCTCGGCAGCACAGCGAGCGGGATGCAGGCCCGCTCGATTATTATGAAGAAAGCCAAAGGTTCCGTGGTTTCCAACTCCCCTTGGATACTCGAAGATTGTTGATGGCATCCATCACTGATTCGGGCGACTTGAACATACTATAGAGCATCATAGATTTCTTTCTAATTCCTGTAAGTCGGGGTTTTAACTTGGACTTTCCCAATCCCCTCTCGGCGTACTATCCAGACATAGCTGCAACACACATGCTTAGGGACATCTTGAGGGAAACGATGTCAAGAAAACTTCTATAGAATTAAAACAATGCCATGAAATATGAAAAAAATTCGGTACACCTTAGATTGAAAAAATAAGGCAATGTATCGATAAAATCCAATTCACCTTGTTATATGATAGTAAGCACCCAATCTATTCAATCATGCGCGCAAAAGAAATATATGGGAAAGTGAAAACTCCATTACAAAACTCTCTGCAATCGCGGAGAAAGCGGATGCTCTAGAACGTCCAAGTAAGATACGACAGTAAACTACTAGTGACAATACTTGAGGTTGACCAAACATTTATTTGGAAAGCACAAGTAACTCAGGTAACTTGGATCAATTTGACTTGGTTGTGCCTGGTCATCTTCACGGTCTTCGCTGAAGTCAAAATTGCTCAAATTCTTAGGCCTTGACTCAACTTAGGGCCAGCAATAGATGACGAGAAATAGTATATATGACGCATGGATATCCAATCCATTCTACAATCCAGTCTCCGAAAGCTGTTGTCAAGGGCCTCAAGCCCCAAGGCCTTATGGATCTGATCAGGCTTGATTTCTGCAATACATCACGAGTTTGGACTTGAATTCTGCTGGTATTCGAGTTGGCTTGTAGTTCTTGTCAAGACAAACTACAGTAGCTTTGGCTTCCAGTATCACCTGCAGATACCAAATGACTTCAAATTGATCAAGATCGAGGAAACCAAATAGATGTCACCGTTGTCTGAGACCTGAAAGACAGTAGGTTATTCTACACAAATGACTCTAAAACATTGATAATATCTATACAGCAGAAGTAGTGAAGCACGGGACAAGAGATAGAAGCTTTAATGGAAGATTGCAGTATCAGAAGACTGACCTCCCTATTGGGCAGCTTGTATATGAATTGCTCGAAGTTAAGGCGAGCTGCACTCGAACTGACAAGCTTAGCTGTGACCACATACCGGTCACCACTCTGGCTGCACCAAACACATACCGCAACGCTTTAGAACCGTATTACCCCTTACGAAGGACGAAGTGGAATAATCAAAGAGTTAGATGTAATCCACAGTGCACAAGATGACTTATTGAACAACTATAAATTCGTTGGAGCCTATTAATCGGACGAGGTTTTCCCAAGGATAATGATTAATCTACTAAATTGCGAACAAGTCTCAACTCAAAACTAAAGCAAGAAATATGTCTTTCTCAATTTTGATATACATCTTCAGATAAGAAAAGAATTCATACTCTGAGAGGTGCTACAAACTTCAGATTTAGATCCGAAAGGGCAAGGGCAGCTCCTGTCCGCGCAACAGCATCTGCACTCATTCCAATTGCTTCGCACAACTCATGTCGAGCTGCGCAAATCGTACGCACAGACACACACACCAATATCGAGTTAAGTTCATATATCCAAGTAAAAAAAGAGAAGGTGTTTCTTAAGGTTAAGGAATTACGATATAGAACAGAACCGGTACTTAGAAGCAGAAGAACATAAACCTCCAGATAAGTAAAACAAACATAAGCTTCATTTGTCACTATAATTGATTACAAGTTTTGTAAAGCAAAAATCAGTCAACGAATTTCGTAATCACCGTGTTGACAATAATGAGCATATATAGCATTGTTCACCACTCCATATTGGTCCAGCTCATAATCACGAACTTTTTCTTCCACCTCAAATGTATCCGTGTTTGGACTGCACAAGCCAAAAACAGTAAACATAGTAACAAGTCAATTTGTTGAACGAGGTTAGATACAGAGCCACCGCAAGCATTAACAACAAAAAATTATGAAGATAATTACACTCTACTCACCAATATTTGCCTGTAATGGCCGCGCTCTGGCTTAACCCTGATGGAGTTTTTTACAGGGAAGAATTAAGATGAGAAAAAAAAATGAAGAAAGATAAAAAAACTTGACAGTGAAGAAGGTATCTTTAATCGTCAGTATTCTCTCCAGTTTCGTTCGTAGCTTCGAGTTGCCAATCAACAATCGCATCGACCTGCGAAGCTTGCTGGAAGAAAGTAGTTTTGTCATTGAATCAAAGTTTAGAAAGCATGTCTACAAATGCTACATGCGCCGTGGTATTATATCTCGTGCTGTCACAGGTGCTGCATTTAGCCGCATTATGGACATTGGTTTCGTTACTCTATGCAACAAATCGAGCAAGTAGCGGAATCTTTACCCATCTTGCTCTTCTCGTAGTTTAGAGTAAGAGCGATTGAGAATGAAAAAGAATTGTCTTCAGGTCAAGGCTAGTTGCAAAAGGAGAACCCTCCTAGAATCACATGGCTAGCAGTTTTGATAAGTGTATTCTTACTAGTGTATTCCGAGGTATCTGATGACACGACCAAGAGATATCTTAGATCTGACGAAAGGTACCATTCTCTCGAATTACTGAAGCAAACAGCTGAGAGCTATGCCTATAAGACATTTGTACGTTGTAACTGTAGAGAAGGAAAATTTATTTGTCTAGGGAACCAGGCCTTACCTGTATGTAGCGATAGAAACATGAAGCATGTACAATCACAAGAATGAACATAAAGCACAATCACAAGCAGCCAAAAAAAAGAATGGAGATTGAACTGGATGTTTTTTTTGCAAACTTTAGCATCGTTTAGTGGCGAATAGCACTGATGTAGTGCCCACAGATCGCACGATTATCAATGAAGTAGCAGACCTGAGAACAATATCAAAAAACGACCAGACATTGGTTGTTTACGGGTTATGTATGTGTCTCTCAGATGATCACTATAAGAGGGAAACCGTCGAAACAAGAGAAAAAATTAGTCATGTGGAGCAGCTGAAACGTTGTACTCATAATCTATATGACGGTCATAGGTAGCTGAACATACAGATATATAGTAAAGATTAGTAAAAATTAAATATGACAATTTGGAAAGCAAAGCAAATGACACTAAGACGAGAATGTGGACAAAGCTCTATGGACTGTGTTATCCCAAAGCAACAGATCTCTGACCTTCCCCGAGAACACAACACGGAATTCGTTCGCTCAACCAACCAATCTCAAGGGATTGGTTGGTTGAGCGTACCAATCCTTTGAGATTTCAAAGAAACTTACAAAGAGCTATGTAGCACGGCTTTGAAATGCTTTGACACTTTTCGGACGATAAAAAAGCCCCTGGTGCTTGGGGTTGATCAGGGATAAAGAAAGCTTTTCATACCCAAAAAATCTGCTACATCCGATATTCAGTATGTTTTGAGGGTAACCAATTTGACTCTTCATAGTTTCGCTCTATCTGAAACCTTGTAATGGTACTTCTGAATTACCAAGTTGTACAAGAACAAAGAGTAGCTGAAAGTTTATAGAGTGTATGAGAGTTTCACTGACAGTCGGAACCCAATGAAAGAGAAGGAGTACCTTCGTCAGAACATCTTAGAAAATTTCGTTGTAATAACTTCTTTCTTAGAAAACTTATTAAGGAAAAAGATGATGGTAGTTGTGTTCAGTGTAGCCCGTAGCAACTTAAACCACCTAATCCATCTTTTAGTCAAAAATATTTTCTCTTTTCACAAATAGTGATGTAAATGTATACAAAACATGATCAATTCACTACTGTGGCCGCATCTACACAGTCCGTTTCCTCGACACAGTCCGTTTACATCACGAGCAGAAATTGCATTTGTCAGAATCGGAATGAGTTCCATCCAATTACATAAAGAATCACTCGATTTAATGAGAAGATAAACTCACGTAGATTGCTTTGGAACTCCGAAAATACTACCACTCAGCAGACCATCTGCCGCTGCCAGCGGAGAACAGAGCTTTGCGTGATCACAGGTACGTTTCAAAACTGTCATCCTACTCCAGCGTGAATTGAACGAAACTGGCTTCATCTGTCCATCTTTCGAACCGAAACAAATGACTCCTCCAAATCTCGTAGAATTAACTTCGACTGTCGCCAACAAGCGGCTCCCGGGAGATAGATCTGATGCAGAGCACGACAATCCTGCAAACTTTCCTACAGATCCCAAACACACAGCGTCCAGGGCCGACATAGCTACAATCTGGTCCGGCACACTTTAGAACTCGAAGATGTGCGATGCAATGCTAGAGCGAAACGCACTTGCCTGTGCTCATCATTGGTTGCCGACCGTCCAAAGCCTGGGTAATGACGCCTTCATGGAAAAGGCGCAGCTACGTGGAAAAAAAGTGAATCAGTTCACTCATTCATCAAGAGAGCAGACAGTGAACACGGGCAACAGGGGCGACAAAATGAGCGTTGGACGAACCTGACGCTCATCGGCTAATACGACAAAGAATACGGTCGGGTCATGTTGTAGGAACTGTAGAAAAGTTTGAATTCTCATCCTGTTCGGCTCCATTCGAACCATTGTCGACAATATTGCCCTGGCCGACAATTATTTACTTGTATATTGAGACTGAGACTGGGGAGTCGATATAAAAGGGCGTCACTTACACATGCCATCAGTTGATTTCTTATTTTGCACAAAGTGCAAGTAGAACAGAAATCGTGGAAGGAGAGGACTTCCATATCGGAATAATGATGTAATTTGTTGTGTGAATTGATAGGAGATAGTATGTTCTGTACAGAACTTTTTCCCCAATTCTCTTCACTGTCTGGCAGGGCGTGTGCACATATCGGAAGGACCTTCACTGCACCAAATATGGGGATCAATATACTTGCGTTGCCTAAGGCTCTAATTTACACAAATTGAAATACTGAAATATGTTCGCTCCATTGGGTTATATTTTATGATTGACATAATTGCATATCTCTATACATATGTCCTCATCTACATTAAAATATAACTCTAATTCTATGGTGCTTTGATATGGGAGGATCGTTTAATTTCTATACAAAGTCTTTCATTGTGTTGAAGTCCAGTATTACGATTCAATGCAACGACCCTTTATCATTATTTTATATATAACTTGTATTTCATTCTGAAGCTTGTGTTTCTCAGTATACTAGGTTAGATTTCTGCTGCATTTTTAACAGTAAGATAAATGCTTTCCCCTTGTCACTTCGCGTTCACATCCAACTATCAACATCTCGAGTAGACAACACGTCCATGTAAATTCATTGACACTGAGTACTTGGATCTCTGAGCGTCAGACTTGTTCTAAAATTCTGTAACATATTTGCAGCTATGACATGGTTGAGGGTCTTAGTCAGAATCTTAGAATGAAGCAGATTTTTTGAGTATTTTTTGAATTAAAGATCGTATTGGTTTATAAAAAATATTCGGCAGTACCTTATAGCATGTAAGCGCATGTGACCTGGGTACTGTACTTTGGTTGCAGGTTATGTGACCTGGGTCACCTACGTGTTTCTGAAGCATTCACTTCTAGAGTGTGGATCTATGATGAGAGCGATATATAGACAGCTCAGGTGTTTCAATTATTAACGTTAGTTGCGTATATATCATGCGACATTTCAAAGAGGTTGACTATCGCAAAGAGTATTCGCTTGAACTGCGGATAGTAAGGTTTGCTGTACGTGAACACTGGATATTAAACCGGTAAGATGAAGTCGAGAAGATTTGGTCTTTACTGTAAGTATATATTCTGTTTTCTTGCTAGATAGCGTTCGCTCTTGTAGATCTAAACTGTAATTTCACATTTTTCGTTAGCTTGAGTAGACCTTTTTCTCTCCCGGATTTTCCCGCAAATCATTTTTTGCATTTCGCGCTTACATCTCTTTATTCATCTTTCCGTCACTTCTTCTTTCTTAGAAGTTTCTTTTCGCATAGTTTGTTTACATGAATAGTTTTGTCTTCACAAATTTGTACCTTTTTCCATCTATGATGTTGTCACTCATTTTTTCCCTACACCGGTTTCAGCAATATTTTCTCATTCTACATACTTCTTTGGAGGTTGCTCGAATTTGAAAGTTGACTTTCTCAAGGCATACTATCAGCCCTTTCCGCCCTAAACCCTTAACTGCAGCACGGACTTATGTACATATACCGTCACCTATTCTCGTCCAAAAAATTCCTCCGCATATATTCAAAGAATGAATAAGTAAACTGCCATTACAGAACTTCCCAATTCAAGTTGACTTCGAAAACACAAACCTCATAACCTAAACGACGCATTCATCACGCAACTACTTCCCAAACAATCATTCACGGGCAAATGAATTCTGTGGAACTATCAATGCAACTAAGTGTTTCGGCACAAGAGTTCCGTTCGTGCAAACACACGTCTTTTGTACACATCTTCTTAAAGTATGGAAAGAGGAGCACGGCTAGATGTGGTCTGACTCAGGATCCACTAACCTTTCCTTAACTTGGCATAAAAAGCCAATAATTTCTTGGATTACAATCCACGACTCGCCAATCTAGCGAGACAGGAGACCTACGAACCACTTTTTTCTCAACGAGAAGCGTGTCATCAAATTAGAAGGTCACTTCAAGTTTCTCAGAATGCTCTACCTTGATCTACAAAACCCCGAGAAAACATGACTTTTGCCTACAATTGTAGGCTGTCAACTGAACTTAAAAGAGTACTAGCTACCTACGTATTCTACAAGTGATAAACAATCACAAAATACTTGAAAATAAGACAGAAAAATAAAATGTACAGATTAGTCATCGGCTCCCCCGGGAAGAAGACGGGTGGTTCCACGAGTGGTTCCGAATCTGGCAGGGATAATTCTCGATGGAGAGAGGACCTCCGCAAAGGAAGAACTGCCGTAGTTGTCTGTTCCCAACCGGCTCTGAACCCATCCCCTGCCTCCTTTGAAACCGTCGACGACCACCCAAGTGTTTTTGAATCCTTGGCCTCTGAGGGACTTGGCCACGGTCTTGGCTATGTCGCCAGACTCATCAATAATCACTATCCTGGATCCCTTGTTAAGTTTCTTAAGATATGCGATCTTCAGGGCAGCGACTTCGGCTTCGACCTTGCGAGAGTTTCTAATTTGATTCCTAACCTTGCCCGGCAGCTCCTCTACTGGAACTGCGATGTACTTGTTCTTGACGTTGCTTGGTAAGCTCGGAATGCCAGACCTAGACTTTTCCTTCTCTGATCGGATGTCTACGATGGTGTAATCCTGTTTCAACAAGAGATCCAAAGCCTGGGCGGCGGTCAAATCTCCAGAGTAACCCCTTGCGGCGTCGCCCAAACCTGAGAGCAAAGCAGGAGCAAACAAGTAAACCAAAACGAGGCCTCCGGCTGCCTCTGCAAGGAAGAGAGGATCAGCTGCTAGGGCAGATTCTAAGAATGATGAACCCAAGGGTTTAGCAGCGTTCAAGGCGCTGGAGGTCTGGTCAACAGCCGACTTTCCAAATTCCAAAACTGGCTCGGTGTCCACTCCGGCATTCTTCAATGCCTTCTGTGCTTCTCTGGCGGCATCTGAAGCCAGAGGAGAGGCATATTTTGTGACAGTCTCCGCAGTCTTCTGGACGAGGGGAGCTGCGATGTCGATTCCGGGTTTTACCGTGGTCAGCACCTGCATTGCGTCGATACGTAAGGCGAATCGTCAGAATCAGTTTATTTATCCAGAATTCTCAACTCCGACACTCAACGTCCACTCAAACCAGGGCGTAAAACATCGAGTGATCCGAGGCGGAAACAAACTTCGCCGACCCTGATCTCCAATAAAAGTTCCTCGTTGAACGTACACCTTTATCAACTTATACTCCCAAATTTTACTGATCTTGGAGTGAGCAGAAAGCAGTAATTGGAACCAGAAATATAACTTCCATAGAGAAACACGGAGGAGGACGGATTAGAATTTCCTCACCTTATCGAAAATGTTCTTGGTGGCATCGTAGGCAGTCCCGGCGGTGGAGGTGACGGTACCGGTGATCTCCTCGACCTTGGTGAACGCGTCCTCAACGTCCTGTCGGGAAAGCGCTTGGGCAGCGGCGGCGCTCTGCAGAAACATGAGCATCGAGCTGGTGAGCGTGACGGCGACGGGCAACTTCTTGCCTTCGTCGCATTCGCCGCGCTTCGCGACCACGGAGACGGACCTGCGAGGGGCGCTCAGCTGCACGCGCCTCAGATCGGGAACAGGCGTCCCGGACACGAAGGCGCTCTTCGTCGGCGCTCCGGCCACGGCCGCACCCGCCATCTGCATTGCCCGCGCCATGCTGCAGCCCCGCGCGCGCGCGTCCTTCGCCTTCCTCCCTCAGCGATTCAGGTCTGCTCGAAGGCACCGAGAGCGTCCCAGACTTCGAGCGCCAGGGCCGTTGGCAAGTACAAATGCGCTGCGCTCCTGGGAGCGTGAAGGAAGCCTGTGGCTAGACGCGAAGTTCAGGCTCAGATCGAGCGGGCCAACATTCTTGGCGGGGGGGGGAGGTGGGGGGGGGGGGCCACCGTGAGCGGCTGAGAGAGCGTGCAGACCCGGCGCGGATCCGGAACCGGTCTGGGAGCAACTTGTGGCCGGTACGAATGCTGTAGGGCGGGGCGATCGCCAAAAGATAGGATATCGTCCTAGTTGGCACTGCCGCATTGGACTGCCTCCGCGCCACATCGGCTGGCGCATTTCCTGTGGTGTACGTCACCGACTGTACACTGCCTCTGTACTACGGGCTACGGTGCACTGTCCTACGACAGCATCTTGGATTCTTGGCATCTTCTCTCAGAGTTCGGCCCTACCTCTTCCGCCTTGTGACTTGTGGCCTAGCACTGGGGGAGAGGATTCTGTTCTGACAGGATCCGAATGTCAATCACTTGATTTGTCGGAGGTTGAACGGAAGTCGAAAGCCGGATATGTCTGCTGGAAACCGGGGGGTTTAAGTTGACCTTGGATACTACCGTCAGTTATGGTTTCGAGTTTACACGAGGGATTTGAGAAGCTCGGGTTATGTTGTGAAACTCTGGTTTCTTGGGTGAGTAGTGACAGCGACGAACACTTGGCTGCTCTAGTTCGATCGAAGTATATTTGACCAACGAATTAATTAGCGACAATTTTCTAAATTTGCCAACCTCTTTTATTCCTGCTGTTGTTAGTTAAGTAATATCGTCGAAAACCACTGGGAGAGCACACATATAGGTCCGACCATATTTATGCCATGTACATGGTGAGCCATAAATCACGAATTCTCTGCCCACAATGTCTTCTAGCTTAGACTTGTGCTATATATTTCATGGTTCATATGCCAGAAATTTATCCTCGAGAAATGCAACTAGATTGACGTTCAGTCTTTCTATTATGTGATAGTGTTTGTGATGTTACCTGGCACATTATTCTACCCTTTACTAAGCACATGTCCATCACCATGAGGATTTCTCGTGATTGTGTCCATGATGTTATTGATTGTTTTTCCCCCCCTACTAGTAATCACATGTAACCCTTAGATGTATATCTCCTTCACAAGGTTGCTGATGTAATTGTAGCGTACTCCAACTTTTGCAACTTTTCAAAGGTAGGTTTTGGCAGCCAGCTGAAACGGCCCGCATCTTGAGCGCGCTTGGCAAATATTGTTCACAACCTGCAAGAGCTTTGATATAGGTTAGTAATTGGGTTTGTTAAGCAGTCAAGCCTCTTGTGGATTCAAACCTCATCTTTTCCACAGTATATAAAAAAATTGCATCCTGAAAAATGCTCGGAAAAAATTGGCACATCTTGCAGAATTGATAATTAGGGCTGCAACTTGGCCCCAGAATGTGGTTTGTCTTCCTCACCAGCCATAATCAATATTTGTTGTTTCCATCCTATGTAGTTGCTTATATGCCAACAGAGCTTAACTCTGCTTCACTTCTAGATCATGTTCTCAAGCTGTATCGTGAGAGTGTTCGTTTCTTGCTGTCCCCAAATTCCTTCTTGAAAAATAAATTCTAGAATGCCATCTTTTGAATGTAGACACTCTATGCCCGTTGACGAACGGGAGATTCTTAAAAAGATTCAAGCCCCCACGATTCTCTTCATCCAATCCGGGCGTAGACAAGTAGATTTGGCAAACATGGGTGGAACCACTTTTGCTATTAGTAGATGAGCAAAGTACCTTCTAACAACAAAAGTGAGTTGTAAAAGGCGTGAAGAATTTGTTGTTTTTAAAACAAATTTTAGTGGAAGATCATATTCTTCCTTGTGAAAATTCTTGTAGAAAAATCCGCTAATTAAAATCATTGAGACTCAACTGACAAGAATAAAGAGGATAATGAAGATAATAATAAATTTGCTTTTATTGGTTTTTCTATACTACTTCTCATTTTTGTAAGATTAAATTTGCAAGCAAACCATTTTTTTCTTTTTTCTTTATAATCATAACTTGCATTAAATTAAATAGATTAATGCATGAAATAATTAAATATTTTATTTTGTTACTATATTTCATTTATGTCACGGTGGATTTTTTTAAGATTCAAAGACTTTAATTTTAAAAACTAACACTTGATGTATCTATAATGATATCAATTTCAAATTCTACTTTCGCAGAAGATTCTGATACGCACAAGATTCTGATACGATTTCAAAATAAAATCAATTCAATTCAAATAATGAATTGATTATCATTTTCATATCTTAATTAAAATGGAAGATGATAAGTTTATGATATATATAATATAAGAAAATGAATAAGTCTAATTGTGTTCATGTCTTAGTTGATTCATGGGTTGATTTGCAACATGTGCAAAACTTCATGTTGTTTAATTTTTTGATGGCTTGGAAAAGAAGTCATATGATTTATATTCATTGCAAAAGATTTCAAATAAAATACAAATACATTTTACTTAGGGCTCTCTCAGGGAGAGCCCTTCGGCCTTGGGGCCAAAGTTTTAAAAATAGTGAATCTTGACAATTCAAGAAGATTATTCAGGTAAATCAATCACAGCGGAGAATATATTAGTGAAAACTAAGAAGATGTAATTCATACAAACACACGAAGCAACACATAAGCAAAATAATTTTAACATAACTGTTACATTTTACTTTTACTTTACATTGTTATTTTTTTACAATTTCTTTAGACTACTTTCCTGCTTTTTTCCGGCATTAGCATGTATTAAAAAAAAGTCAATTTGAAGTTTAATAATTGCATAAGAAATAACAATCCAAAGCTTGAAGTTCTAAGACTTGTGCTTTCTTGAAGATGCACTTTAACTTCAATTTGAATCAATCAACTAAGTTGGACACTAATGTTTAATATGCAGCAGTGGTGAAACTTTGTATCATGAAGAGGATGAGTGACCATATCAAGCTGACACAAACAAAACGATTTCACACTTAATTAATAGGAGGTAGCCAATTCTTTTCTCACCAATCATCAAAATCAAAACCTTATATCAGAAATTTATCAATTAAGTGGGAGAACTGGGTAATGCTGGCTTTGCAATGCTGTTTAATCTCGAAATAGGAAAGACTTTCATCCCTTCGAAATTGTTAGAGCCCAATACCAAGCCCGTGAGGGGATCAACTTGATTACTCGCTGATCCACTGTCTCCAACAAGAAAATAAAAAAGGCTTGGGTTATTTCATGATGTAGGAGCAGTTCGGTTTAGTCCCCTCCTAAATACAATTTAAGAGCGTTCTTGACTGAAGCAATCCAAATTCCTGAATGCGAAATCGTAGGTAATGTATCGCTGGTGCTTTGGATATGTTCTAAAAATTTCAATCCCGTTTAAGGACCGAACATGACAGGAGTCTGGACTAATGCAACTTGTCTGCAGAGAAATTAATTTTTGACAGCAACGCTTCTCATTAATCCTGTCAGTGCATGAATAAACGTCAAATTGCGGGTCGATAATTTTGGAGCATGTTCTAAAGAACTAGTAGCTAGAAATCGTCGATGCGATCCTGCACTTGAACTTATAATCTCAAAACATGAAGATTACAATGTTCTGAGATTCAAGTTCTGATTTTACCTTTCTTCATCACTCAAAACTGAAATTTTGAGCCCGCTGCAGAGGAGAGCAGTAATGAAAGAAAGACTCAGTCAGGCGCTAAGGAACAAGAGAATCTACAAAGACATCGTCAGAGGCGCACTCGTTCGAATGGCTCCACACAAAAATCTGATCTTCACGAGAGGTCCAGAGACCCGGTGCAGGAAAGCCACAAGACACATTGACGCCAGAAATCGAGATGAGACGAAATTAAATGAAACGAGATGAGTTGAGATGAAACGGCGACGACGAGGAGCTTTAGTAATAGCCCGCAAGACAAAATTATTAGAATATCGGTATGGGATCAAAAACTGTGGAGTCGCCTACAAGGGTGTCTTAAGCTCCCAACTCGTAGACCTCATGAAGCTTCCGGGTGCTCCGTCGGTCCGTCGGTCCGTCGGTTTCACATCGTACTAGAGTCCTCATCTACTGTCGAAGCTCGTGTCGGTGTCGTCGCTCTCCTTCTGCACAGCCCGTCCGATCGTCCCCCCGCGCGCCATCGATATGAACGTCCTGTCTCTGGGGTCGATTCGGGCGGAGAGTCGGAAGTGCGCTCGTTCGATCGATTTGTTGGTCGTCGATTGTCGATTTTCGTCGCTGTATTCGTAGTAGTGGTAATTCATAGTAGGAACAAATTTACACACGGCACATCGCGTCACACGCAGCAGAGCAGCGACTTCATCGCCGGTTGCAGCTCGTCGCACATCGACCCCTTGAAGCAGAGCTCCTCGCCATAGCTGTACCTGTAGAGCAGCCTCCCGCAGCACACGAAACAAATGCACAGCATCCCCACGAGCCTCAGTCGGAAATCCATCGATTGAGTTCGTCAAGTCCCCCTCTCGCTCACTCTCTACCTCGCTCGCTAGCCTGCCTGCCTGTCTGCTCGCTTGATTGAATGATTGATTGGTCGCTGCTCCAGATCCTCGACCCGGGAAATATTAACACCCGTCGACCTCTGAGTTCTCTCGAGTCGAATCCATGCCGACGGACCGATTCTCTGGTTCAGATTCCTGCGAATTGCGGCGATGGCAGTTGATGGATGTGGCGGATCTACGGGGACACGAGTCGGGGTGGCGGACTCGGAGTCATGTCCTAGAACATGGTGTGCCCGGAAAATGTACTCCGAGTCCCGACGTCGTCGATGTCGCGGTCGTCGTCGTTGTCGTCGAGCAGCTCTCAAGGCCTGCCTGTGCCTGCCTGCCTGCCTGAGCTCATGAATGCTGCGAGCGTCAAAGGCTTTAAGCCCGGGTCCATCCGCAGCACATTCGCACCGCGTAACATCGGGGAATTTGATCCCTGGCGCGCGCAAGGAGCACCCACTGCGTTCGAGATACCCGCTGCTCGTCCCCCATCCCGCCCGCAAAAGAAAACCACCGACATCGGTGCCAGTGCAGACAGGCCGGACATGGTGGAA